TGGTGCCAACTTGGGCCAGTGAAGCAACATCCTCCACAACTAGACTGAAGAACAAAAGGACAGCAACTTGTCTGTTCCCCTTTCCCCAATTCCCCAGCGCTGTTCCCATCCCCCAGTTCCCCAATAAAAATCTTTAATAAAAAAAAAGTTTGGAGCCCAGGGTCTCCAGTCTAAATAACAACGGAGGAAAAAACGCAAACACCTCTCTCTATGTAGATGTTGCTGTTTGGGTCTTTTGCCACAAAACCCCTGGGGAGTGACTACTTTGCAGACAAGCTCACTTCAGAGCATGCCAAGTGACTCCCACCCCACTCTCTAGACCACTAAAGAGAACCATCTGCAGCTCAAGAACCTCTTTCAGCTCAAACCCTTGAGTGGTTTTTAGTGCTTTTAAGGCATAAGTTTCCAGCACTTCAGGAAAACAGCAGAGTCAGGTATCACTGAACGATAAACCTGAGCTGATCCCTGGGGATGCTAAAACAACTTGATGTGCTGACAGCAGCAGCACACCAGGCTGGGTGGGGTGGCAGCTTCCCCAGAGGCAGATCATCTTGTCACTGTTTCTACAGAGATTTGGTCTGGTCTCAGCAACGGGTCACAGTTTTACTCCTCAGTGCTTGCAGTGCTCACCTGTAAGTGACAATGCACGCTTGTCACAGCATGGATGAAATACAATGTAAGCCCATGATATAAGGCTTCCCTTAAAGGTTTCTTGGAGTGGACAGTTGTTGTTTTGGTGTGCCGCTACCCCATCCTCCTTCCCCTCATACTAGAACTTCCTTTCTTATGGGGAGCTCACTTCAGGTGGTTCAAGTGGGGCTGACCCCTTCATCCACCAAAGGGGTAGGCTAATGACAGGCTAGGCCTGTGCATCTCCCTGGTCACACTGACTGATTCGCTGATGGGCATTTGACTCATGGTTGGCCAGAATCGCCCCTAAGAATTCTCTGTCAGTTTTCCAGAAAGGCATTCTCTTTTAGGTTCCTAAACTAGAAAGATGAATCAGGGTTTCCAGGGTCATTTCACGTACAGAGAGCTCAAAAACTAAGCAGAGCTGAGGTGATGGGCTTGGACCCAAGGGCACAGCCAGAACACCTGGAACCAGCCTTGTTTGAAGCAGATTCTTGGATTTTCCAGGCACATGAGCCTATGTGTTTCTTTTCTTGTTAAAGCTAGTTTTCAGTAGGTTTCTGTCACTTGCTGTTGAGGCCACAATTGTGAAATTTTACTTGCCATCAAGATAAAGCTACATGTGAGGTTTAGGCAACACCTCACCACTCCTCATAAGCAGAGCAAGATTTGGATTCCTGCTGATAAGGAATGTTGTGGTGCTTTTGGAAAACCTACCAATCAGGAAACAACTTGTCCAAAACAACCTTGAAATTGCCCTGTTAAACTACAGTTAAGATCAGTGCCTTCAGGGAAGTAAGAACCGGGACAACCCAAAGGTTGCAACCCAAAGGTTGCGCCTAGTACGGTGTTTATTAGTCCACTACTTAGATTGTTCTTAAAATAAAGGAAAAAGGGGTTTTGCGGTCAAATGTTTGTGTTAGACTGGATTAAACAGCCTTCTGAACAGCGGGAGTTAGGACATTAAAGATCAGAGCCTTTAATGTACCAGTACACTCCTGTTCCCCTATCCCCCCAAACCCAAATGGCGATAAGGATGCAGTTTCCCAGACTTATTTGGCCACGAAACTCCACCCCCCCCCCACACCAAACACTTTGTGATCCTAGAGTTCCAGGGAACACACTTTGGCCTGGGGCTTAACATCTTTGGGTGATGAGGCCATCGGAAGCTCCAGCAGCATCATGCGTGGGCAAGAGCTGCAGCAGTTTCATCAGGGTGCTCAGAGCGACTCCTCTAGCCCACAGCAAATCGTGGTTTCCCCATCTGTAGAATGGGACCACGTCCAAGGCTTGCTGGCAAGAGTAATTCATTGGCACTGGTGGGGCCCCATTTTAACAGGGTTATTAAGATTCCATCACCTCAGAGTCATGAGGATAATGGGACCTATTGTTATATAATTTCAGCAATAAACTGAAATTATTTGTTTCCGATGGTGGTTGCAAAAGCTAAAGACGGTTAGACTTGCTTAGGTAAGAGTAATTGTGGTCGAAGGCGGGGGGGGGGGGGGGGGGGGGGAGACAACAACCCACATCCATCTGCACAAACAAAACTGTGGCTACAGTGTCCTATGCCAAATCACAACATAAAAAATGCAATTCCTGAAAGCTCCAACCTCTGCAATCGCCGAGTTACCTTTGACGGTCACGGAGATGGTGGTGTTCTCTCCCACCAGATAGCCACAGGGTAGAAGCTCGGGGGTCCCGGATGTGTTGCTGCGTTTGACTTCTCCAATGCTGTAGCCAAGAACACTATCTGAATTCAGCCCTAGCTGACTCACTGGGTCGACGTGAATGATGTATTCCTGGAAAAAGTAAAATAAAGACCCCATCGAAGATGTGGCTAAAAATCTGCCCATGACTCATGTTTCCATTGGGCGATTTATAATCATCTTCTCTTCTTTCTCAGCTGATACCTGCGTTGAAATCAAGCTCTGGAAGGAGTGGGGACAGAGCTGACTTTCTACGGGGATGATGTTCTACTATCACAGGCCTCTTAAAATACAGATTTATTTGGTTAGTGGTGTGTGTGTGTGTGGAGGGGATGAACTCTAGCAAGATTGTGAACGTTTAGTCTGGATCGTTTAGTCAAGCACAGAAACATAAGGCTGCTTTTCCTACGTTCAGCTGAAGTCTTGAAGACATCAGCGCCTGGGAATGGTGTTGGAAAATTCATGAAAAAGTAATTCTGACAAGAAATATCTCTATAGCTCCTCCTTCTTTTGGCTCAGAGCAAAGACCATACTGATGACAAAGGGAGCAAGACCTAGGACTGCTAGAAAAAAGCAGCTCTTGATCTTTAAATAGGAAAATGTGTGTTAATTTGGAAAGTGTTCCCTCTTAGGTGAGTCACCAAAAGGTTTTAGGTCAGTAAACTTGGAATGACGGTCCACGGGCTATGAGGTGACCAGATGATGTCTGAGGTGGAAGCCTAATAATAGGCCTCTACTTTTCATGGTCTCATTTCCTCACATGTGACACCCCGCAGGCTCTTCTCAGCCCAAACTGTTGTCTTTCTAATCCAAGGATGTCCTGACTACCCATCAGGAGAGAGAAGGTGTTGGCCTGGGCAGCAGACTGCTCTGCCCCAAACCATGCACATTTCCACTTAGGCCAGTCTACATGGCCTGTAAAGATGATGAGCGATCTTTGGTCAAAGAACAGAACTTTCTCTGTGTGAAGCCACCTGAATCTAGATGCTAGAAAGAGACTAGAATGTACCAGTTAAGTCAGGTTTTAAAGTCGGACTAACACAACTAGACTAACAGTCTAGTTTTAGATTCATGACCTTGGGCAAGTGATCCAACCCTAGCTTCACTTTCCTCACCTTTACTTGGGAAAATACTAGAACCTTCCTTACAGACCTGTAAATAAATTGAGGTAATGTAAAGAGAAAGCTTAGCATGGTCTCTGGCACAAAAAACGTGGGCTATTAGTATTGCTCAGGGGATACGATTAATGAACACTTACAGCTGTTGACTTAATTCAGGACAATACAAAAATGTATACCAAAAGCTTTTTTCAAACCACCTTGTGTTTCAAGGGTCGCCCTGGTAAACGCCCCCTCCAATGATGTGATTAGAATGAATACAAAAGTAAGTATGCCAACGTCCTTGACACTGGCCAATAACCAGATGTTAATATCACTTGTAGCACAAATCACAGACTGAAGTGTCAGCAAGGATGCTGGGCCTGTCGGATCAAATCCCTTTGAAATAAAGACTAGAAACCTGATGTTTAAGCCCCTGAGCATGTTCTCCAAAGATGCAACAAGACATAATTCTAAGGTGAAGGGAAAATGTGGACATTAGCTGTTCACCGTGAGAGGCTCAAGTAGTTGCTCAAGTTTGGAGTAATGACTCACTGGCCAACCACTGCCAAGGGCAGCCAGGAACACGTCGGCCAATCAGCAGTCTTTACGTACCATCCCCCTTCTATCCCAGCAACATAAGGATGTCAGAGAAAGGACAGGCCTGAGAGATGGCCCAGTGCAGGACACAAATCGCCCTTCCCTCCCTCAGCCCAGGCTCCCACTTCAGGTAGACTGCCATAGCCGTCCCCTTGAAACACTTACTTTGAACAGCCGTCTAACCACCCCATCGAGCACATCCCACTTCGTCTTGCCACTAACTCCAATGCAGCCAATAAGAAAGAGGTGTGGTCTGGAATCCTAAGGGTAAGGAAATGTATGCAGGTGAAAAACAAGTGGGTCTTTTCTGACACAGTTTAGCAAGGACTCAGGTTGTCTTAGAACTCCACCAATGGTTTGAGAGGGGAATAAAAGTCCTATTTGCTTTTTTCTTTAAATAATTGTTTTGTGTTTTAATTACAGTTGACATCTATTAATTTCAGGAGCATAACATAGTGATTAGACATTTTACATAACTTATGAAGTTGATTACCCCGATAAGTCTCCTATTTGTTTTAATACCAGGTGTAACTTAGATTGAATGCAAGAGTCTTTCATTTTCCGGGCTCTATTGTTAAAACATTAATCTGTGGGCCAGGCAGTGAGGAGTTCCTCCCGGAATGCATTCTACCAAATGCATATCGCACACAGTGCACAGATCACATCCCTTGCCTGGAATGCTCTCCCCTCTCCTGTCTGTCATTTCTCCCTTTCAAAACTGTGCTTACAAACTCACCTATTCCAGGAAGCCTTCAATGATTAACTCACCAGGCTCAGAGCTCGCATTGCTTCAATGGCTCTGTACTAACTTACAGAATGCTATATTCTGTACTTGTTTGTTTTTAGGAACTCCCGTCTTATTTGTAAATCATTGTCTTGTCTCCTTGCTAGATCTTAAGCTCATTCAGAGTAAAATGTTTTTATTTTTTCTTTTCTTCTCTTTTGTTTTTTAATAATGTTCATTGCTTTTTCTTCTAGTTAAAAATTAAAACAAGCTTAATCCAAAAAACTAGTTCTACTCTGGAAAGTTCACAATAATTTTTCCCCCATTTTTTTGTATTTCTGCCCACAAGGCTTTGCATAATGGGGACTACATAATCACATTAGTTAAAGAAAAGCTAGGAGAACATTTCATTCTTTTGGCTTTTTAAAAAATATCTGACATGCTCATAAGGACACAGCATTAGCAGAGTGGTGGGGGCGGGGAGGGTTGTTGTGTCTGGCAGTTAAGCAAAATCAGCAGAGAAAAGAGCATGAGTCTTGCAGTGAGGTGATCTGGCCCCACCACTTGCCTTGTGACCTTAAGCAAGAGATGCTTGGGCCTTAGGTTTCTCAGTTGTAACATGGGAAATAATAACATCCAGTCAACCAACTTCATCTGGCTTCTGCGATGATCCAAACTGATACAGTTTTTAAAAGTGACTCATAAACTTTTGTCAAATGTAAAATCTATCTGTCCATGTTGATGATCGCTCGAATAAAATGCATTCACAGGTAACACCTGCATTTATGATAACAATGAATTTCCCCCTTGGTGTTCCATCACTCTACTAGTCAAGCTCTGAAAGTGGAGCTCTTCATAGGATTTTTCTAGGCTCAAGTAGTGTTAAAACCCCAGGCAGCTCTAAAATTCGGGGCCTATTCCCTTCAGTGAGACTAGAGAGCCAGCCACAGAGTGGAAACCCAGGCGAAGATGAGACTGGCGGCAGACATTTTGTTTTGGTGGGTGCTGCAAGTTCCCTAGCTCTCGGAAGCTACAAGAAGCATGCTAGCTAGAATGCTAAGAAATAATAAAACATGGAAGGGGACTTGAAATAGTGACTCATGAAGCCTTTTCCCACTTATTTGAGAGACAGTCGTTTATAGCTTCATTTCGATTCAATCAATGACTAAAATTCAACTTTGCCAACCCCCACTGCTACCCCCAAATAGTTTCTGCTGGGGGTATGGCCTCCTTAAGCTCTGGAAGAGAACAGGAACTACTCAGAAAACTCAGGTTCCCCAGCTGTGGTGAGGCAGGATGTCCCACCAGCTTCACTGTTGGCCACGTGTGCTCCTTACGCTTGGCCACGTCCATCTCCCAGTGTCTACTCCATCGGCAGCCTCTGACAACTGGATAAAACTGGTGCCTTTGGTTAGCGTCTTTCTGTGCCTTCCATGCTAAACGTGCTTATCTGCCTTTGAAGTGCTTTGTCAATATATTAAACTCAGAAAACCCATTGCTGGCTGATGTTAGTGTTCAGTTAATTGCATGGAAGCACAACACGGGACTGTTTTTAGTACTCTTCATTAGACTTTTCAAACACGAGAGAGGGAAGGACTGTTTGCTGGGGAGTTAGTTAAGGAAAGTGTTAGTAGCATTTCCTAGTCACCTGAGGCGCTGAGGTGATAATGGTTTGACGACGAAATCACTAAGCTAGGTAGTTCTACCTGGGGAAGGGACAGGCAGAGCAGGGAAAGGGATCCAACTAACCTCCTTCCACTTCATTTCCTCCTGAAAGCTGACAACTATCTTAACATGCCTGCCTCCTTCCTTCCGAGCCGAGCATTCACCAGTGTCATCCAGCAACATGTCTGCGAATGGAAAACATCAACAGCCTTAGGCACATGGGGACAGCAAAGCTGGCTTCCTGACACCCCCGCTGCTTGTTGGCACAGCAGCAGGACAAACCAGGTGTCAGGGTGCGAGGGAAGTGGGGGAAGTAGGGAAAGAGGAAAGGGCAGAATGGAGAATGCAACCACGGAAACCAATGGTGGATCAACCAAGGAACCAGCGGGCTGACAATGTACCTTGCCAAATGGAAGTGCGAGGGAGAGACTGAACCAAAACAATAGCAACAGCAGCATCATGGATAAGAAATCAAAAGCATCAGCCTTAATATGCTTACAAAGAAAACCTAGATCATGTTCGCTAATTACTGCGCCAGCTTGGAATCCAGCCTCAAGGCAGGAAGATCATAGACCAAGCCATTGCCCCAAGGGGGACCTGCTGCCATTGGGGTTTGTATGCAGCATACAGCTTGCAGGTCAGCCTCTTAAAATGGATCAAACAGAACTCAGCATGGTGGGCGAGGGGACCCAAGCTCATGACTTGGAGAACTTGGTGTGCTGGAGCGAAGCATGACAGCGGTCTTACGGCTGGGCTCATGTTGGTAGCAGACGCACACCCAGACACACACACACCCCGAGTGCACACACGCCTGTTGCCTCTTCATTTGATCTGTTGGTCTGCTTATCTTGGGGCTCTGGAGTAGAAACCGGAGTGCCAGCTGCAGGCCCTGTCCTGCCCCCAGCCTGGTGACACCACTCACCCAGACTGGTTGACTCAGTGAGGTTCAGGCTGTGCTGGGAGAGGCCCATGGACTGCCTCGGAGAGGCGGAGAGGGACACCTGCGAGGGCGCCCGGCTGCAGCCACTGCCTTGAGACTCCGACTTCAGCCGGTCATTCTCAGCTTTCAGCTTCTCTATTTCACTCTGCGAAGAGGAAGAGAGAAGCCCATTAACTGTGTGGATATAATGCGAACAAGCTTTTTCCGGGGGAGGAATGTGAAAGTCCCTTTCAGGGATCAAGTGGGTAGTTGAGCTGAGGCAAAGTCACACTATCAGAGAGATTCATCAGTGTTTGCTGCTTTGGCTGTATTCACGAGACCTGTCTGGCTGGGGTGGGCCCCTCCATTCAAAGAGCTGAGATTTGAAAAGTCCTTAGAAATGTTTCCCAGAGTCTGAGTCATAAGCAAAAAGAAATCTTATCTAAGAGGTGTGAGCAACTCTGGGTTTGACAGGTTCTTTACTGCAGGACTTCTCAGAGCCACTAATGAGCTGCTATGCATTGTGAATCTGAGAGGGGCACATAGGGGGCATTTCCCAAATGTATCTGATCAAGGAACTTTCCCTTCACAGAGTTTCCCATGGAGGGAATGTTCCGGGGAACCTCCTTTGGAAAATGCTACTCTTCAGTGAGGTCCCATTTAGTAGAACTCACAGGGGTCCTTCATTCTGTGAATATTCATGAAGAACCTACTATTTGTTAAGCACTGGTGTTCTATATCCAGAGAAAGGGATACAAAGAAAGAATAGCTCGGAAGACTTAAATGCCTTCAACCTATGGCAGAAAGTGAGAGGAGCCATGAGAACAGAGCTACAGGAATTCAGATGAGGGCACCAACTCTTCCAGCTGCATGTCTCGGAAGGGCTTTGCAGAGGAAGAGGCATCAAGTGGAGCCTTGAAGGACGGGTCCCTTTTGAATGTGCAGAAGGATATCCTGGTAGAGGAACAATATGCAAGAGAAACTCCTGGGCATGCAAAGGAAGCGGTCAGTGGCTCCCCCTGGCTGGTAAGAAGGGCCTGGCATGTGGAGGTGCGAGTGGGTGGTTGGTGGATTAAGAGTGCAAAGGGTCCTGTGAAGGCCTTGAAAGACAGCTGAAGGACAAGCGAGAGGCAAGAGCAGAGCCACTGAAAGTTTTGCACAAAGGAAGGAGAGGATGGTTACTCTTCTGCTTTCATAAGACTAGTCTTTGAGCAATATGTGGGAGGGCCTGCAAGGAGAACAAGGCTCAGGGGTCAGAGGGCTGCCACCAGGTTCTGATGCAGCCTCGGGGTGTGGTGAGGGGCAGCCTCCTGACGCTTCTTCCCAGACAGCCTCGCACTGTGCCCACGCTGCTGGGCGCTCACCTGCATCCTGTTCATGGCCTCCCGGAGTTGGTCCAGCTGATGTGCAGAGCTGAGGGCTTCTAGGCGGATGTCCGTCAGCTTCATCTCTTTGTCTCTCAGCTCATTTCGGAGCTGCATGACTGTCTCGGCTTCACTATCCATGCACTCTGAAATTCTAGGGAAAGAGGAATGTTACTGGTGAAGGCAGCTCTGAGTTGACCTCCTTTCACTTCTCCACTGACCACTGGCCATGTCCATCATCGGGCTTATTCATCAGAAACCCTGTAGAACCAGCTGCCCGGTGCATCCTGGAGGTGACAATATCAAAAGCACCTGAAATTCACAAATTTTATTGCTTCTCAACACACTTTCTTTGCAGAGCTGTGGTAATCAGAAGAGCTATAGTGCACACTTCAGCAAAATTCCAACAATCGAGGTGGAGATAAACAGGAGCCAGCAAGAGGGAGTAGTAACCTTGGGGGTTTGAAACCTCCCCCTACAAATGTGTACACAGCTGGGCCCCTATAATGATACCACATGGCCCTTGAGATCTAAACCCACTCAGAGAAACAGGTCAACTGTCTGTTTTAAAGATTAGACACTCCAGGGTCAAAGAGCTGAGTGGTGATTTTTATTTGCCAAAAAGGGAACGAAACCTAAAGATACGGGTGGAAAGAGTTAGTGTGCTTCTGGCCACATTCTAAAACCCATTCTCCGAAGTGTCTAGAGAACAACATTCTTTCATTCCCCTACCTCCCACACGGCTTAATAAGCTCACGGCAAGGAAGAGAGACACGCCAAGTAGTTAGAAAGCAGAGATGATGATGTGACACAGAAGCCAAAGTTTTATCTGAAAAGTGTGAAACAGTATGGCTAGTTGTCTGCCTTTCCCAGCTGCACAGGGGACTGTGGCACCCTGTTGAACTCCTTTTTCTTAAAGAGGTGGTCCTTCGAGGCTGGGTTCGTTATTTTATTTACTTGGGTTTGCTCTTCAGACACCACAAGGTGGAAGATCATAAAAGTCAGGATGAATTGCAATGTTAGGAGAGATGGTTCTAGTAAAAACAAGTTCTGTTGATTTCAAAGACCATAGGCTCTGGAGTGAGAGGAGATCCAAAATAGGAAGCTCTGGCTCTTTTGGACTGAAGACAAAAACAAACAAACAACCCCCAACCCAAGTTCATAAAGTTACAAAGCTGAAGCTGATTATCTCTGAAAGGCATGGTGAGCATGTGGTCGCTGTAGAAACAATCATGCGAGCCCGTTCTATGAAACCCACGTACTGGATTTGGGGCCAAGCAAAACCTGACCTATAAAACTGGTTGAGGGTGTGGAAAAGTTAATTGCCAAAAGAAAGCCATTTATAATTGTTAAAGAGATATAATTGTATTTCAGGGACAGAAAGGCTAGAAGAAAAATGTACGCCCAAACAGCCAAATCTTTTTGTTGCTATTTTCTTGACCTGTACTATTTTGATTCGAGAGATACAAAGAGAGTAAAACCATCTCTAGTTTTTTAAGAGTTGCCTGCAGCCAAGGAAGCTTCTCTGCTTCTTAATCTTCTGAAACCTCCAATGGACTCCTGAAAATGTTTTAATTATTTCCATTTCATACCTATGAGAAACTCAGGCCCACAGATTTGGGACTAAGAGGGTTAGAGAGACAGAAATATCTTTAGAATTCAGATCATCCTTCCCAGCCACCCCCACCCCATCCCCCATCAGCTCTCTGTGTTTTGAATAGTCTGGGTTTGTAAGGTTTAACTATAGAGCCATGTTTTTTGGGGTTTGGGAGGTTTACAGGGGGAGCTTGAAAAAATTTGATTCTTTCTTGAGAGAGAAATGGTTTCCTGGTTTGAATGGATCATAAAGTTTGAACTAAATTCCACTGTGACACTCTTAGCCAAACCATGCCCTCCAGAGATCTTGAAGGCTCCGATTCACTGGCGAGGTTCACACCATGCCAGCCTGGTCTGGCTGCTCTCCACAGCAAGGCACTTTGTTCCAGTCTCCTTCACATGGTCTGTACCTTTCCCCCAGCAAGCTTTCTGAGCAAGACAGGCAGTATTTCCTCAGCACCCACTTTGTTGAATATAGCACATGGGTTATTTTGCAAAGCTTGGCCAACGACACTACAGAGAGAAGCAAACCAAAATGAAAAAAAACCTCTGTGTTGAGAGTAACTGCACAAAGCCCTCCTGTGCTCCCTCCAAATTGGCCAGTTCTCAGAAACACAACTGCAAGGCCACATGGGGGAGGGTGTCCTATGGCGCACAGGTGGTGTTGAAAACAAGGTCTTCTCCAGCAGTCCCGATAAGAGTTAGTCCCTGTCCCTACTGCCCAAGGCAGAGCCTTCTCCTTCGGTTCCTTCCCACACTAAACTTCTGTCTTGTCACTGATGATTTGGCTGCACTGAACAGGTCATTCCCTACACTCAGTAGGTATGCAATACATGCTTGTCCATTTCTTGGACTACTTCCTGAAGCAACCAGATGTATCTTTTCCTACTCAGCCTCTAACACATTATGGCAGCATATTCCCAGCATCTTGTCCAGAAGGCAGAGCTGGTGGCATACCTAATTTTAAGTGCCTTGAGTATGGGAAACACTGCCTTCCCATATCTCCATTCCTTTTGCCCACGGGGTAGCGGGTAGGGCCTTTTCTGAGTCCCGGCTCCTCTGCCTTTGGCTTCTTCTTTGAACTCCGTCTCACACCTACATTTGCACATTCTTACAAACTCTTCAAGGCTGGAAAGAAGCATTTGCTCTCTGCCCACCCTTTGGAAAAGGAGACCCAAAACAAACATCTCTAGTGTGCATGGATGCTGTGGAATGTCAGAAGGGAGTTGGAGAGCCAAGAGTGTGCCCCACCCGGTCCCTGTGGGGAGAGTGGTTTGGAAGGAGACTTCTCCTGTGGTCTCTGGGAGTCCTGTACGGCTGAGTGTATCATTGCCAGTCTCTCTTCACCTTACTTGGCCGCCCAGCGGTATTGGGCCCAGTTAGTACTCCTGCCTCCAAACAGTTTCTTCTATCTGCCCCTGGGCTTCCTCCCACCTCTCTGGTTGCTCTACTTTCTCTTCCTGAACCTCACACATCAGGGTGCCGCAGAGCTCAGTTCTGGCCCCTCTGACCCTCCTCCTTCTCTGTTCAACCCCTTGGAGAATCCCTCCCGTCTCCCAGCTTTCAGTGCCAGCTATAAGCCCACGTTGCCCAAATCAATATGCCTCCACAAACTCTAACCTGGTTTCAATCTCCACGGGAATGTTTCCTGGGTGCCTCAAGCTTAAGCACATCGCCATGTGCTTCCAACTTTCCTTCCATCCTAACTCCCTCCAGGACTCACCACTGGCATCGGTCACTCACTCATTCCACCTCATATTTGAATGTCAGCAAAACCAACAGAGTGCCTACCTCCACGGAGCCTAGACTATAGATTGTGGGGTGGCAGTGGGGGACAAAGCAAAAATAACCAAGAAAAATATACACACTAGGTGATATTTGCAAAGGTAAAAAATAAAATGGGGGAAAGGGGATGACAGGGCATGCTAGCTGGTGGCAGGGGTGTTGTTCTTTGCAAGGTACAATTTCAAGGCCTTACTGATAAGGTAACATTGAGCAGACACCTGTAGGAAGTGAATATCTTGAGGGAAAGTGTACCAGGCAGAGGGCACAGAAAGAGCAAAGGCTAAAGGTGGAGAGTGTGTGACTGGAGCACTCAAAGAAGAGGAAGTGGCCCGAGTGGCCTGGATGTTGGGGAACGTGCTGTCAGCTCTTACGTGATCTCCTTCGTCTACGCCTGCCCCGCTATATATTCCTTATTCACAAAACAGAGACTGATCTTGGTGAAACACTATGTCAGATGACCTTACATTCTCACTTAAAACTCTCCAACATCTACCCATCACACAGGACATCAGATGCTAATTCACTTTGAATTCAAAGCCTCACACATTCTGGGCCCCACTTATCTCCGTGGCCTTGTTTCCCGCTTGCCCATCATGCGGCAGCCATGCTGGCCAGCCCCCTCGTTTTCAGACACACCAGGCCTGTTTCCACCTTAGGTTCCTTGTGTTACTTATTCTTGGGTCAGCCAGGCTGTCCTGCTCTGGAGTGGCAGAGGATGCCACGTGTGCACCGCAGCCCATTCCCTTTCCCTCCTGGATACCCTGAGTTTACCTCTTCCCTTGTAGGTGGTATGGCCCCGAGTCCTGCTCAGTGGACCGTGGGAAGAGGCCCAAAACACCCTCCTGCAGGATCCTCTGTACTCTCCCCCTCTCCCACCTGCTGGTTAGACAGAGGGCACCCAGAAGAGGACTCTGGCCCTGTGTGATGGCTGGCCCACAAGATGGAAGGAGACTCGGTGCCTGCATCAGCACACGGCAGGACACCTGCTGAAGAGGAGCGTCTGCGTTGGGTTTGGAGGGAACCAGAGATAAACAGTCATATGTAAAGCCCCTGAGTTTTGGGACTGAGCTTGTTACAGCTCCTGGTGTTACTGACCAGACTAACCAGTGATTCCTCCTGTCACGCAGACATCAGCTGAAATGTCACCCCCTCAGAAGGGCCTTTCCAGGCGTCCCTGTCTAAAGATGCTGCCATGGTACTCTATCCCAACACACTATTTCCATTCCCAGTATTAACCCTTAGCCCTGTCTGATTTTTCTAGTTTATTCAGATTGTTTAATGTCTGTCTCTCCTCCTGTTATAGAGGTCTACCAGAGTAGGGGCTTTATCTGTCTTGTACACTAATATAACTACAGCCAAGAACAGTGCCTCGCACAGAGCAGACGCTCAGACCTGGAATGAGCTATACTGTGTCCCGTCCCCACTAGTCCCTAACCCCCAGCGGTGCGACTCTGGTTAACATCCACTTTGGCCCCTGCAGAACATCTGGGGGAGTGCCCTGCTCACACATGATGTTATACACAAAGTGTGAATCAATACATTAAGGATGGATGAGGAGTTGCTTTTCTCCTGGTCGGGAAACAACTGAAGTAGGATACTGGGGAATGATGGCATGTGGGTTAGTCACAGGCAACTTGTCCTTTACCTTGTTGGCACCCTGCAGGTCAGATAGGACTCGCGCTCACCATCATTGGTCTAATCCTTCATGCAAGAACAAAGGACCCTTGGTAAGGAACTGGGTCCATTCATCAGTGTTTCTCTTCCTTCCCCTGCTCAGTTTTACTCTTGCCTATAACAGAAGTGCATGCTTCTTTGGCCACACCTTTCCCCAGATGTTCCCCAAGAGAAGAGGAGCTAGTAATTAAAGACCCCAACAGGTCCATGCATCACGGGTGGGTGGGGTTGCTGAAAAGCCGGGGCCCTCTGCTCTGTTTTCTCTCCACTGCCTGTCTTCCATGTGGTCTGGGCAGTTGGTGTGTTACAAAGACCTGGCCAATCTTCTCACCCACATTTCCTGCACCCATTGGGTAAGCTGGCCTTGTGCAGCTACTATCTTCAGCGAGATGGCTGGCTGGGTATGGGGACTCAGGATGGCTTCTGAGAATGAAGGAGGACAGAACAGGAACAAAGGAAGCCCTTCATGCATGGTGCTGGCTTGGCCCTCACAAGAATCCAGTGAAGCAGATGTATCTCATTTTCGCCAATGACAAAACTGAGCTGTCTACAACCACCCCTTCCCTTGTCTCACCCTAGTTCAGAGGCCATTCGACCCCCAGTCACACCGGACCTCTTCTCCCAGCCACTGTCTCATCTTGTAGATGAGCTGTCCTTGCAGACCACCTGAGCTCCAGTTCTTCTTTCACTCCTGACCTGGTCTCTAATGGAAGTCAGCCTATAGGGTAGGGGCAATCTTTCTCACTGATGCAGAGAGCCAGCTGTGCCACCTTCTGAGCTGACACCTGGGTCCCCACTTGTCTTTCCCTAGCCATTCCTGACCTGGTCTTGCTCTTAGGGACTGGGCCTTATGTTTTCAGATGGGGCACAGGATGTCTTTAGATGGAGCAATAAGCAGTGGGTGCGTAGCGGAAATCCTGGGAGGTTAGCTGGGTAACAGCAAGTGAGTCTTCCCCCCATGTAACTAGTTACCAACAGAAACACCTGTGTTCCTGAAGAGCTCTGTAAAAATGGACTTGTTTTACATTTACTAGGGGAGTTCAGGGTGGTAAATCATTTTACAAAATATAGACCCTTTGGTAAAGAGAATTACCATCAAGTCTCTCCATTTTTTTAAACTTCCAATTTCTGACTTTCAACTTCTACTTTCTGACCTCAGAGTCAATACCAACTTTTGATCAAAAAAGAAAAGTATAATCACTGTAAACCTTGTCACCCAAATGAATCAGAATTTCAGCAAAAACTGCCAGCACTTCTAACACCACCTCCTCCCCCTCACAGCAAGATGGTTGTAGCTCTTTCATATCTATTTATTGTGTTCCATCCTTAGGATGGGATAAAAAGACAGCCATTATCCCAATTTGACATAGAAATGGAAACAGAGGCTAAGCAACTTGCCCAAGGCCAGCTAGCTAATTAATTATCCAGACTCCCCAGAACAAAAATCTAACTTTCCTTTCTCTTTCAAGCTCCCCCACTCTTAAAGCACTGAAAAAACACGCACAGTGCTATGAAAGCAAGACATAAATGGTCCCACCGACCAGGTATATCCTTACAGGACGCCTCTAGGAACTGCAAGGTTCCTAGAGGCCAAAGACATCGTCTGACTGGCGTGACCACAACGGACAGACTTACAGAGAGTTGGAGTGCGAGTTTCTCAGCAGTGGAGTGGAACCCGTGGAACCGTTGTGTGGTAACTTTGGTGACGATGGCAAAGAAGAATCGGTCATCTCCTCAATGTCTGAATGAGAGGATGCTGACTTGGGGGACTTCTTCTTCCCGAAAGCTTGCTTGAAGGAGCTGCGTAACTGAATAGACAAGACCGTCAGCCTGGCAGGGGCTGCAACCCACACTTAGGCCTTGGCAAAACAGAGACATGCAGACAAAAGAGCAATTAATTCTCCCATGTCTTCCTCCCACCAATGAAAAAGGTTCCCAACAGCTCTCTCCAATCAGTGTATTAAGGGAAAAAGAGTTATCTGGTGTGGACAGCTCAAAGGGCTGGACCTGTGGGTAACATTCCGTGCCTACTCTTGGTTCAAGACTAGATGCCAACAGCAAGACAGAGCCTGGCTCAGCAGATGGATGTTGGAAGGATGAGGTTACACAGCAACAAAGCAGGATGCTCAGACATGGTGACAGACACGGATGACGTTAGTCATATCAATGGATGGGTTAGCTTGGTATCTGATATTAGCAGTCAGTCTTGCTTACCTCATTGACCTGCCAGAGAAAATGCAAGCAAAAATGGGGGAGGGGAAGGAAAAAAGACAATTTTTAACAGAGAAAGCCAGTGACAGGGAAAGCTTTGGACTTTTCAGACACGACATAGCTAATAATAAACATCACACACAGAGGAAAAGTTTCCAGTAGGATCATGAATCTTTCAAACCACAAGGGGCATCTTCCTCTATTGTGAAAGGAAAGAAATAGCGAGTCTGGAAGTTCCTACTATCTGAGTTCTTCTAGCTTCTCTGTCTGGATGAAATGGCTGTCCCGACCTTCCTTGTGCTGCTCACCCTTTGTCTCTAATTAGTCATTTCTCTATGCTTTTTTTTTTTTTTGCATGTCTTTTTTTCTCAGCAAGGGTAGCTTCACTACTGCACTGGTCCCAACATGGCTGTATAGCTC